ACCTGTTGCACAGGGGTTCAGTACCCAGCCCAGAGTGTGGCTGATGTGTTTCTAACAGTTTCTGAACAATAATGGAGCTCTATGGCTCAGACGAATAATGTCATGTTTTAAATAAACAGACCATATTTGTTGGATCAGTTCATCATTGGTTTTGGTCTTTTCAAGGGATTTGTTGACAATACGGAAATAACAAATATCACCCGACAGATAAAATGTTAAAGCAGTTCCTTGTAAATTAGATTTAATCCCAAAAGTTGATTTGAGAGATTAAAAAGAGGTGTTTAATGTGAATTCCACTGGTGTTGTACACTATTTAAATTATCTTTACATTTGAATTGGGATAGACTCAACAGCATGTCAGCTTTATTCCACAGGAGTTGGCTGAATTTAGCAAACCTTCTGTTCTAATGTGTCTGAGAATCAGGAGTGCCAATCTGGGGTCAGTTTCACTTTCCAGAGACACTCCAAGTGGGCAAACAGGAGCGATTTCACAGATTCAGGATCAGTATTGCTACCGAGCGGCTCGATGTAGCAGTTAGGTCGACAAAATGTAGGCTGGATCCACGCTGTCCACCCTCAGTATTGTGCCCCCTCAAATCCTGCCACCCTGACCCCGCCTCAAAGAGCCCGTCATCAGATTACCAACCCCCTGCTTGTCCTAGGCCCCAGGCCAGAGCTCTCGAACAAACTACATAGATACTGAGGGGGAAAAGAGACTGATGGATACTCCCCTCCTTTTTGCTTACTATGTAGGCTACTTAGCTGTGAAATTTGTCTTGTTTTTAAATTGAAAAAAAAAAAACATTTGCAGATGGAGTATTTTAAATAAACACTAATCATGTAACAAAGATATGTTGTGGTATTTACAAAATGTTTGTATGTCTGATCTGTGACCTTTTTCAAGGTGTCCTGTAAGTGTTATGATTGTGAGTGTTTGGTAGTTGAAGGTGGGGTAAAAATCAGTTCTTGGATGATCTCGAAAGATCAGGGGCTCTATCTTACAACCGACACAAAATATGGTAGACAGCGCCCGTCTGTGTTCCCATGGGCGTGTAGATCTTAAAATGCGCTATGGTCAGGCACATTGTTGGCGTGTTGCTATTTTGAGGCTCAACAGATCAACAGAAACCTGATCTAATAGTATTTTTAAAGGACTCAATATTCAGATAGTAAGATGCACCTACATAATGGGTTCACAACACATGTACACTCTGCTTGTGACACACACAGGAACATGCAGATGGGTCGTGGGTGGATGAAATAATACATCATTAATGAGGGAAATATTAATTACATTCTGTTAAATGTGAACAGACAAGAGCTGCTGTCAGACTCCCCATTACAAGAGATGCTTTGCGCGTTTACATTTAAGGAGCGATGTAACTTCATTGATTATTTCAGAGGCTAAAAGTTTAGTTCTGTTTCCTCTGTCACATTTATAACTACAGTTTTTAGTGTTGCTGCTTACCCACGATATTTGCTGCAGTGACGTTACAGCTCTGACTGTATTACCTGGGTGCAGGTGCATGTGGTGTTTTAAGGGAATTTGAGATGACACTGGTTTCACCCAAAACACACCTATGATTAATTAAAAGACTAAGAACAACTCTTAAACCCCCAGCAGAAGTGGAGTTAGATGAGCCCTAAATGTACTTGCACCATTCACTTTAGACTGTGAGCTATAGATTGTTTAAATAGGGTCCCATTTCCATTGATGTCAAAAGGTAAATAATCAGTTCTCGACATGATGATTGCCTGAAACAGTTTTGTACGACCGGGCTTTACATTCGTTTAGTACTACTGTCTAATGTAAAGATTATGGAAGTAAATTCATTTGTTTCTTTTAATCATGGATCGCAATAAATACGCTATGTTTTAAAAGTAGCAAGTTGTCACCGTTAAAAAAAAACACATCATGTATTGAAACCAAAAATTTAGATGCATAAAAATTAGGGATGTACGAAAATATCTGCCGATGTCGGCTTTAAAATTAACCATCAGAATCAGCCAACACGCTTTTTTCTTGATTTACACTATGAATGAATATTACATACACTGATAAGTATTCTATTTCATGTCCCCATCTGCTGGTGGGCCATCATGATAAGACTACGCTGCATAATATGATATTAATTCCACTACAGAAGAGACTTGATGATCATAGTCTCTATATACAGACTCTACATTCAGTTAATGTAGAGTCTGTAGGCAAACCCCGGAGATCTTGCCTCCGGAAGAAGAGCGTTAGAGCCCTGATTTCCGGTTGTAGGCTGTTTGTAGTCCACGTGATATTGACCAATCACGTTTGAGCAGGCTGCAGTTGTTGCCAGGTTAAATGCTCCGTGCGGTGAACTAATGAGGCGGAACATAATTGGCATCACTGCAAACTCTGAATCCATCGCAATGGTTCAGCATATTTACTTATATATATGAACGGAAGTCGGAAACGGAAATTCGCCTCCTCCGCCCAAATCAAACCGGATTGCCAAAAAATCAGGGGTCTGCCCCCAGAGGCTGTATTCGCCGTCTGCCGGAAGTCAGACGCCGAATACAGCCAATGGGTTCCGAGAATGTGATGATCACTAAACTGTGGTGGGGAAAAATGAATACATTGATATCGGTATTGATTATCAGTCAAATAAGTTAATACGTATTGGCATATCAGATATCTGCAAACAAATCAATATTATGCATTCCTAATAAAATGCTTTGATAATTATGGCAATATATAATAATGGCATTGTAATCTTCTGAATGGTAATCAGATCATCAATCAATCAAACCACTAAGAGGATTTAACCAGGACAACCAGTCTCAGTTGCAGGATGTCTTGTGGTGTTTGATCTGAAACATCATAAAAATGTGATTAAACTTTTGTGGAATATAACAATAACCTTTCTCATGGGGGGAAGCAGCCTTTACAAGGATAAAGACATTGTATTTAGTCGTGTCAGCCATCATCTTCCAACTACACTGAAAAGACAAGATGCGTAAGGATCAGCGTGACTCGCTACCTGGATGAGTTGTAAGTATATTCACCTTTTAAACTTTCATTATGCTTCTTTTTTGTATATTATTTTGAAATGCCAGCATACAAACACTACAGAGCCTGTGCTGTTAAATAAAGTGAATTGAAAACTATCCATCCATCCATTTTCAACAGCTTATCCAAAGCCAGGTCACTGGGGCAGCAGGCTGAGCAAAGTATTCCAGACGTCCTTCTTTGTGTGCAGAATTTAAAAGTGATAGAGTACTAAACTTAATGACGTCACAATAAGGATGGATTGATGAGTTTTGTTCTAATGATAGTTTTTTGGGAAACTCTTGTAACATCCGTCAGATGCTAATGAAGATTTCAGGAACAATGCTTCCTCTGCTGTAGCTGAGATTTTTCTCATGTTGAATAAGTGTGAATTATGTTCTCATTAATGTTTAAAAACAGTTTTTTGCAGATATTTTCTGTGTTTGAATTTACTGTTGTACAGCCGATGTAGTAAGTGAGTTTAAGACAGTTTTTGAGACAGTCTGAAACTGAATTCACAAAGTCTTTGAGGTTCCAGGGCTGCTGCGGTCAACAAATCATGATAGAGCCTGGAATAGTGTCTGGCGATATGATGATCTATACCAGAGGTCACCAACCTTTACTAGAATGTTGGTTCAGAGATGGTCTTCTGCACACCTTGGTTATAACCAGTGGTTATTTGAGTTCCTGTTGCCTTTCTGTCATCTTGAACCAGTCTGGCCATTCTCCTCTGACCTCTGGCATCAACAAGGCATTTTGTCACTGGATATTTCCTCTTCTTCAGACCATCCTCTGTAAACCCTAGAGATGGTTGTGTGTGAAAACCCCAGTAGATCAGCAGTTTCTGGCACCAACAACCATGCCACGTTCAAAGTCACTTAAATCACCTTTCTTCCTCATTCTGATGCTCAGTTTGAACTTCAGCAGGTCGTCTTGACCATGTCTACATAGCCTCGCGTCAGCAGGCCCTTCACATACGGCGAAGAGCCTGGTTTCCATTCACTCTGAATTTTGTCTGGTTCTGGTTCCAGTCTAGAGAGCGGATCCGGAATTCACCAAATTCACCAAAGTAAAAGTGTTCACCAAAGTAAAACTTTAAATTCTGGCGCACCATCGATTTACAATAAAAGAAAAAGGTTAACTTAATGGCTTGGGGCTTTTCTTGTAAATTATATTCTTTAAATTAAAAAGTTTCACCGCATTTTTATTAGCTTGGTGCTTTTATTTTGACGGAAAGGCGCATCCATCAAATTCCATATCCTGTCTCTCTCGCCCTGGTTCCGGTTCCTTACCAAAACAGCCACTAAATGGCCCCAGACTATGTCTACATTCCTACATGCACTGAGTTGCTGCCACGTGATTGGCTGATTAGATATTTGCGTTAACGAGCCTGCGTGTCTGAAATCATTTCCTGTCTGCAGTCTTGTGGAGCATATTTAAGTGTCTGATCTATGAATGTGACAAATGTCCTTTAATACTTAATAGAAAAAACAAAACCCATAGTCCTATAGAGTGAATAGGTGTTTGTGAATGAATGAATGTCTTGCTGCGTTGTATTTTGGTCCATGAGGCGACTGTCAGTGGAGGAGCAAGCAGGCAAGCAAGCTGCCATCAGCATGACATCAAGTGCAGCAGAGAAACAGGAGTCTGCATGAAGTGAGTAAGAAACAATGTTTACAGATCTCACAAGAAAGGAGACCTTTTTGGGGAAGAGGTTGTAATAAATGTCCATAAATTTGATTTGTCGTCACCAAACTTTCACAATATGATCAGAGCTGAAGCTGAAGTTTGTCCCCAAATTCAACTTTTAAATCATGTTATTAAACAAACGTAGCTCAAACATTGTCAGTCTGTTCCACACACATGTATTCTTGCTTACTTGAACCTTTGACACCAGAACAAGAAACAGTTGTGCTTACAAATCTAGAGACCACAGTATAAATCAGTACAATCAATGCCAAATACTCGTGCACCAAAGTTGAGGTCAACTCAGTTTTAATTCCACAATATGAATCAAAATCTACAATATTTTTTAATATCCTTTTAGGAACTCTTATCAATATGAAAGCAGATTTACACTTAAACAAACCTAAATGTCCGTTTAAACCAACACTTACTGGAGTTCATCATCACTCACACGATCACATTCACTCGCACAAATCAGGCTAATAAATTAGAGATATCGCCTAGCGTGTGGAAACACAGTAGTCTAAACAACAACAGGTGGCCAAACAGCACTGAATGAAAATATCACAGACCATCACAGCAGAGAACAAATAATTCACTTTCACCGAATCTGTCATTTAATCCACAACCTGTCCTGTAATGTGACGTTTTGCACAGAACTATGCAAGATAGATTGTTGTAGTTTTATGTCTTTAAGTTTCAGGCTACATTAAGACAGTTTGTAGGAGACAGGGAGGGTCCTTCAGTGTTTGTTGTGAAGGCCTCTAAAAACAGATGATCCACATTAGACCACAGATCCATGCTGATAAGATTTTGCCCTACAGAACTCATGTTTTATTCATCTCTGCACAGATTTACTTACTAGTTACTCATAAATAGTGAGAATACAGTCAATCTTAAAGAAAAGTAGCATCTTCCAAAAGTCCAAAAGTGCTGGTTTATGCTATTAATAGTAAAAAATATAACAAATACTTAAAGTCTTGTCTGCTGTGAGGGTCCAAGGACAGAGGGATGTCATATGCTGAAAAGCCCTCTGAGGCACATTATGATTTGTGATATTGGGCTTTATAAGTAAAATTGAATTGACACTGAATAAATTGGACTATTAAAGGAGCTTAATTTGTCCAAGTAACAGCCTAAAACCTTGAAAATATTAAATTTACAATTTTTTAAAGATCATCTAAAAGCATAAGTTTGCATATTTTATAAGGCAGAGCAAACAAATATTTTGTTTTTCTTCTATAAATTTGATTATCACATATATTTCAGCACTGTTTATACTAATTAAGGATTAATTAAACCTAGTTTAACTGAAGTTTAAATAAAAAAAATGCATAAAGACAATGAAATATTTAAAAATAATATGTATAACTCTCTCAGGGGTGGGAAAAACACCAGAGGCCCCACGATACAATATTATTACGATACTTAAAATAATGTTATTGCGATTTGACAGGTGTTGCGATATACTGAGCATCACGATAAAATATATTGAAATATATTACAATTTATTACCTTTTTTCAACTGTAAATTACTGTATGTCCCCAAAGGAAAACTTTGTCAACATGTTTTATCCAATAAGATTAAACTTTCAGTCAGTTCATCCAACTGCTGTCATTTTTATTGCAGCAAAATGTATCTAGAAGACTGAAAAAAATATTATTGTAGTAGGCTACCAAACGTTTCATTTGTATTTGTAATATTAATAGTTTATATAATAAAATATCGATACTTGGCGTCAGTGTGACGATGCGAAATTGCCACACAAAATATCGCCATACTGCAGTGTCAATTTTTCTACCACCCCTAGACTCTCACCACAACTATAAAATAAATTGGGCTACAACTAATGATAATTTTCATGATACATTAAGCTGCTGATTTTTATCTTGATTGTTGAAAAATGCCTGTCACCAATGAGATGTCTGCAAAGTGCCTATTTTCTCCAATCAGCAGCTCAAACCTCAAAGATGCTCAGTTTATATTGTTTATAAAACTTAGAAAAGCAGAATAATTGATTTTTTTTAAACTGACACTGCTTATTTTTTGGCATTTCTTTTGTTTAATAATTAGCTGATAATCAAAACTGAATTTTCTGTCGATCATTTAATCCATTAATGAACTTATTATTTGAATTTATCAGTGTATGACCCCAACATCTGTCTGCTCAGAGTCCAGGGTGTGAAATCACTGGACAAGTAGAGCAATGGTTTTCAAAGTGAGGTCCAGGGATCTTTATAAAGGTCCTTTAGTACATATAAGGAATTGTTAAACCAGAAATCATAAATAATTGAGGATAAATAATTATTCTAACAGTAAATTTGATTTTAACCATTATTTTTCAGTAATTCATAGTCTTTTTTGTCTGAAAAAATCTTATCTGACTGAGGGTCTGTGGTCTAATATGGATCTAGTCAAAGGGAGTTCATGATGTGGGAACATACAGTGAGCAGCTCCACCATCAGCCAGCAGGTGGGGGTAAAGGCCAGGCTCAGATCCATCCTGCGGCTTTAACCTAATCAGAGCTGCTTAGTTCACACATCATGAACAGAACACACTCAGAAACAAACTTAAAGTAGAAACCAATAACGGAGCTCACAGGTCAGAACGGTATCAGCATAAAGACTGAATTCCTTTTTTGTTTGGATCCCTCTCAGCACAGTTTCACTTTGAAATCACACACCAGACATCACATTCAAACACTGACATCAAACAACACATCTATGTACACGTTTATACAGTTTCAAATCGGACCAGATTTGTTTCTCTGGTGTCTTGAACTTAGCTTGTGGCAGTGGCATTGGTTGGTTACAAACTAAACATATCACACTATACACCTAATTTTCTTTACAGCACATTTATACAATATGTACATTAATAAATATGTTTGTCTCTCAGTGCTCAGGAGAAGCAGGTAGGAAGAAGCGTGTGTGTAACTGTTTTTTTAAAGGTTGTTTTCTCGTCTGCTCGACCTCGTAGAAAAGCAACTGTTGGAGTCAGAAAAGTCAGACTCTTAAATATGCTGTGTTGGATTTTCTCTTGTTTAAATTCCTATTACCTTTTTATTTTTCCCTTTTTACGCTCTGAATCTTCATCTAGTTTTTGTGAGAGCTGAAATTCAGAGCACACAGATGTTCGTCCACGCTCAGTTTCTGTTTGGACAATTTATTTACGAGTGTCCAGACTGTTCGAACATCACACCTCCTTACTCTGTTCATATATGTGATGGAGCAGCTTTGTGGTAGATCCCTGATGTCAGCCCAGTCCCAGTATGTCCAGTTAAAGCACTACTGGCCTCACTGTACATGGAGGGAGGAGCGGTGGCCTTCTGCGGCCAGCAGGGGCAGCATCGCCCCACAAACCTCCTCCAGGACTCCAGAGTTTTCCCTGACCAAATCCAAACTCCTGAGGTGATGCCCACCACTAAGCACATGAAGTACTTGAGCATGAAAACGGCGTAGTCCGGGCCCAGGCGCTGGCGCTCGGATGGGCAGGTGCAGGCTAACGCTCGCTCCCAGCCAGGCCGGTAGTGCTGCTCGTAGACCAGGCAGGCCACCACAATGGTGGCGGGGACAGTGTAGAGCACCGTGAAGAGCCCGATGCGGATCATCAGCCTCTCCAGTTTGTCTGTCTTGGTGCCACCCTGCTTGATGATGCTCCTGATGCGGAAGAGGGAAACGAAACCGGCGAGTAAGAAGAGTGAGCCAGTGAAGAGGTAAACCACCAAAGGTGCGAGTACGAATCCCCTCAGGTTCTCCAGACTCTGGTTCCCAACATAGCAGATTCCAGCCACAGGGTCCCCGTCCACAGAGCTGAGAGCCAGGACGACAATGGACTTGAAGCTGGGGATGAGCCAGGCGGCGAGGTGGAAGTACTGCGAGTATCCTGCGATGGCCTCGCTGCCCCACTTCATCCCTGCAGCCAGGAACCAGGTGAAGGACAGCACCACCCACCAGATGGAGCTGGCCATGCCGAAGAAATACACCAACAAGAAGACGAGGGTGCAGAGAGCGGGGCCTGTGGTGTCGTAGAGGATGTGCAGCTGGTCGCCACCGACACTGCCGCTGGCACCACACGCCACCCGCTCATGACCTGCCACCAGGCGGATGATGTAACCCAAAGACACAAAGAGGTAGCACGCAGCCAGGAAGATGATGGGCCTCTCTGGGTACTTGAAGCGCTCCATGTCAATGAGGAAGGTGGCGACAGTGGTGAAGGTGGAGATGAAGCACAGCACCGACCAGAGTCCCACCCAGAAGCTGGTGAAGGTGCGTTCGTCTGCTGAGAAGTAGGGTTGGTGGCAGGGCTGGGCGCAGTTGGGTAGGGGACCGGTCTGGACCTGGCCGTACAGGGTGTGGGACTCCCTCTTGATGGGGACCAGGGGGTCTCGACAGCGACACTCCCTGTCACACTGTGGAGGGCTTGGCGGTCTGGTCCGGCCTTTAGGGGTGGGCTTGGGGAAAGGCGGAGCCAGGGTGGTAGTCTCGCTGCTGTTCTGGTCCATGCACAAGACCTCGTCGCCCAGCTGTGGCAGCTGTTCGCAGCTCATCCTCTCAGGCCACTCGAAGCCATACTGGCTCATCAGAGGGGAGCAGCCTCGCTTGGCCCGTTCACACACAGACCTGCAGGGCGGCAGAGGCTTGCGGTAGTCCGGCAGGCAGATGGGGGTGTACATGCTGCACAGGAAGAAGAGCAGGTCTGGTGAGCAGCGGATCCGGACCAGGGGCCAGAACTGGTGCACCTCCAGCCCCACCTCCTCCTGGGTGTCGTGGTTGAACTGATTGGGCATGTAGGTCAGGTTGTAGCCGATGCCCCTGCACATGGGCACAGTTATGGGCTCACACACCAGGTCCTTGGAGGCTCCTGACGTGAGACCAGGACACCGGAACAGCAGCAGCAGCAGCAGCAGCACGAGGGGCCGCGGGCTGCAGGGCGCGTGCCTCACCAAAGATGCCATATAGAAAATCAAATGTTTTAGAAACATTAGAGTCATTAAAACAATAAAATAAAATTAAAGAGGGTGAAACATCTTCTTTAATTTATGACTTCATCTCGGAAACCTTAAAAACTTTCTTCTCCTGCTGCATGCATCAGGTCCAGAGGTTCATTCTGCTCCTTCCAACCTCTTAATGATTAAAACTAAACCAGTTAAACTCCTGTAGGTGGATCCAGTTAGTCCACAGAGCGTCAGGCCGAGTCTCTGCTGTCAATCATTCACCAGAGCTCCGCAATCATCACGGAGAAAGTTAATCTCCGGTGGACACGTTCCAATAAATTTAACGACCTTGTAACATTTTCACCAGCCCTGCTTGTTCCCGACGGGCTGCAAACGCCTCTAAAAGTCGCATCACGCTCCTTGTAGAAAAGACTAAAAGCTAAAAATAAAAAAAGCAAAACAAAAATCATAAATCAGTGTTTAAAGTCTGTGCGTCCGGAGCCCGGTGCGTAAAATCCACTTGACGTTTATTCCCTCAGCAACATGAAAACAGCCTTCAGGCACATGTTAGTTTCTCCTTGTCAAAGTTTCTCAGGTGTCTCCTCTGCTGCCTCTGAAGGAGATAAAATAAAACACAGGAATAATCCGAGGCGTCCTTCAGGGGGAGAAACTTGTCCCGTGTTATCATGTGCAGCAGCAGCAGCAGCAGCACTGTGCGGCTGCAGCCTTCACTGAACCCCGGGACGGAATAAAGTCCGTCTGAAGCTGCAGCACCTCCTCATCACACACAGGGACTGATGCCTTCAGGGGCTGTCGGAAATGTCAGTAGCAGGTAGGGAAAGGGGAAATGGAACTAAGTCAGTTCTTTAAACCACATTTCATGGATAAGATAATATTAAAAAAAGGGACTTAATTTATCCTGAGGGTTTTTGTTGTGCAGCTTTTCATTTTATTTGATAGGGACAAAGCGATTGAGCATAGCTCCAGTACAGAGTGAGAGACTGATGTGTTGCACAGAGAGTTTATAGCTATTGCTAATTTTTAGCAGTGGTCCCTAGTTGGGTTTTTACATGTAGACCTAACATGTTATGTAAAATATACAGTTTAAAACATCATAAGAACCACAATACACTGTAAAATGGAAGACACAATAAACCACACTACATATACTAAAATACACAGGTTACAGTACAAAGTAGGAACAGGTGCACATATATAGAGTGCAAAAATGTGAAATATCAATAAAAGTGCAAGAATAAAAATATTAATAAGCACATTTCAAAGTCAAAATAGCCATAATGACAAAAATATAAACAAGATTAACAGCATCAGCTGTAAAGTTTTTGTTTTATTGTGGATTTTTTTATTATATGTTGTGTTAGTTGTATTTTAAATGTGTTTTGATTGGCTGCTACCTCAGCCAGGTCTCTCTTGTAAAAGAGATGTTCAATCTCAGTGGGACTTCCTGGTTAAATAAAGGCTAAATAAATGAATAAATAAAATGTCTCCTCAAAAGTGGTTGAATAATTTGATTTATGACAACACACAGCAGACCAAAATGACAATTTATTAATTGTATCTATTAAATTTTGCACATGTAGAATGATTTAAACCTTTTTCTTTGTCCTTAATAAGTCATTATTATTATTCTCATTATTAAATTGACAGTTCTGAGATGAATATTAGATATCGTTAATGTCTGACTACATTTTTCTTACTCAGCGTTTAATTCTGAATTGTGAAATATTGGACTGTCGTCACCAGCCATAAGCAAGTTTGCATATAAAGTGCTTTATATGAGACAAAGAAAAGTAATTATAATTAAAAAAATATGATGAATAATGAAATGATTTTAAAAAATAATAGACACAATGAGAGAAAATGTATTAAAGTTTGATAAAATAATAAAATGAGGAAAATTAAAGCACTTTAAAGAATGAACTCAAATTAAAGTGGACAAACAGCGCATAATACAGTTTAACAGTAGTTTCAGTGCAGTAATAGAAAGTACACTTTATTCCAGTGCTCAGTGTAATTTTAATGTACTTGTTCTCGAGTATTTCCATTTTATGTTTCTATGTTGTTTCATATGACAGTTTTTATTAATACAATACTTTCACCAATTTGTCATTTATTAAACTTTTTGGCTTTTATTTTCTACACAAGTATAAAACCTGAAAATGCTGTTTGCACGTGAATGCATCACCACTAATAATCCAATATTAGCCCATAATAAACTTCATAAATTAATGTTTCACTTAAAAAAAAAAACGATTCTCTGTAATGAGTGATTTTACTTTTAATTTAAGTACATTTTGCTGTAACACTAAGTAACATTTGTTCTTTTCCTCAAGTTTTGAATACATGATCTAAATAGTGTTTTTGCCACTTAAAGAAAAGATCTAACTATTCATTTAAACACTGTAATTCAGTTAAACTTCTGGTCTCCAGTATAATCTTAAGAAAACTGTCCGTCTTAATCTGGATGTGTCATTTATAAAACACTTCACGTAGAATCCACACAGGTTGAATTCATTAAAACTGACTTGTTTATTTCCTGTTTCATTCTGCAGCTCAGTGAAGCCTGAAGCCAAAAAACTTCTTTTGACAAGCTCCATGTTGGATTGGTTTCCAACTGACAGCACCTGAACGCATCAGTGAGTTCTATTTATGACTTCCTGCATTAGGAGGAAGGAGTTCACCAGGAGAGCTTGAAGGTATTGGATGATGGATGAGGTCTCTCCACCCACTGACACCCCGACCACACACACACACACACACACACACATACACACACACACACACACACACACTTATAGTTAATGTTAATAGTGACAGGTATATTTTACAGTTTTAGTTTATTTTCTCTGCTCATTGCTTGTTTCTTTCGTCGCAGTATTTTTAGACGTTTAGACAAACACAAACGCCACAGAGAACACTGTGTGGGGACACCAGTTGAATATTCACGAGTCCATGTGTTAAACGTCCTTTTAATTGTCCACAGACATTCATGGTGAGCGTGCGTCCATGCCTCCTGAAATAAATACAGTCCATTTCTCCCATTTTCTAAGGAATATTGCTCCTCTAAACCTCTGAGAAAATTTTATCGTTTCCATTCCTTGATTATGTCCGTCCATTGTTTAATGCTTGGAGGCTCTTTTTCCTTCTGTCTTTTTGCCCCAGCGTTCCCAGAGGGAGCAAATTTATCTTTTAATCAGTGCTTTCAATATCACGATGCACACTCAGGTGTATTTCTACAGGGATATTAAGATGCAGTTTGTTCACAAACACTATTCCTGACTTCTGACAGACCTCCTGTCAAAGTTTGACGTTTCCTCTCAGCTCTGATTTCACTGAAGACGACAACAGGACAGGATGGACTGACACATCTAACACACATACAACAGACATAAAAACATGCACACTCATAGCAATCTGAATTCTTATGATTCACCATTTATTTCTAATGTTCATACTGTATTTTCAAATAAGTTTTTTGTTGCCATGGCAAAGAGGACCCCTCATTTCTCAGTTCAAGTCAATTTTAGTTTTTTATTGCCCCAAATCACAGATTTGCCTCAGAGGATTTTACAGTCAGTGAGACAATAAGAGTTTGTTACATCAAAGGGCCGACAGGTAAAGTTACAACAGGACTGTCACGTAAATGATGTCAGAGGTGTTGACCCGAAAAAAAAATTCACAATGTAATCCTTCTGTTTAGTGAACGGACTGAAGTCTGTACGTAAACGTGATGTGTAAATCAATCTTTTTAGTTTTTTTTCTCTTTTAAAACTGAAATTAATGTACAGATATTCCTGATCACTCAATCTGTTTTCAATGTATCTATTTATTGATTGTTTTATTTCTAAATCTGTCTCAAACTAAAACTGTTATTTGCTGAATTATTTGCTTTTTATTTTGCACTTAAGTATCAGTTATTTTATTGCAGATTTTATTGCAGATCCTCCATCATGTTTCCTTTGTAGATAAGTTTTTCTTTGTTTTTCACTCTTATGGAAAACTGGGTGTCTGTTTCATATTTCTAAGAATTAGAAACACATTGGAACACTCAGATTTATGATTTATTTTTTAAATCATATTATATTTTCTTCATGATCTCTTATGTTATCAATATGGCTGCTATCCCAAAAACTTTAATTTACACACACATTTTCACCCAGACTGAGTTGTAGGAATATTATCTAACTTTACAAGCTTCTGCAGATTGTTCCACGTGTGTGCTGCAGAGTATTTAAGAGCCAGTTTCCTGATTTCAGTATTACCATGATGATTTTCTAGAACCAAACACATATAGTGAGTGAACACTGCCAGTACTGAACATTGATGTCTAAACATGATTACATCAAAAATCTGTGGAGCTCAGTAACTGCATGACTCTGCTCTCCTTCTATACACACACACACACACACACACACACACACACACACACACACACACACACACACACACAGAGCAACATCCCACATCGGACAAAGGTCACAGCGCTCTCTGGGGGACAAAGGTCTTAAAGGGTGTGTGTGTGTTTGTGTGTGTGTGTATATGTGTGTGTGATCAACACATCAGCGGAGACAAGTCTCTCTGCGTTTCATTTACCTTCACTCAGATGACTTTGACTAATGAAAACAAACAGTGACGAGTTCATGTGTAAAGCCTGGACTGAATCAATCTCTCATGGGTACACACACACACAAGCACACACACACACACACACACGCTTATGTGACGTGTTGTGGTGATTTTCCCAGCTTTAGGTGAGAACACAAGTAGACGTAGATGTGACCTGCATCACTTGCTGATCAGGTAACCACATGATACACACACACACACACACAGATTTGTACTTGGACCCTCACTGACATGACCACCACCTTTAACCCTCACACACACATCTGAACAAGACCACAACACCTGAAACAAACTATGCAAATATGTTGTGTTCGATGTATATATGTAAAACCAATAACCTGCTGCCTACATTACCCATAATGCACCTCCACCACAGACAGCTGGATCAGAGAGTCCTGAATCAGGTCGGGTCAGGTGACCAGCAAAAAGGTGATTTGAGGGTGGTACTTTGTCTTCATTTTATTTCTGGGTGCTGAATGATAAATATGTTAAAGTAAAATAATTTAATTTAATGTTGTCTGGACAACGTCACGCAGTTACAACAGCTTCCCATTTGGGGGCAGTATTGCCCGAGACGACCACTGAGCAGGAAGCAAAAAAGCATGAGGAAGAAGTAAAACACAGCTCATCAATTGACCAGGACCGAAAACAGAAATCCATCCCCTTTAACCGGCTTGGTCACCACAAAAACAATGCACTGCGCTCTACGTCACTTCCTCTCTTTGGTTCACTTCCTCTCTTTGGTTTGCTGGATAGTCCATTTGCATTTCCCACAGTGAGCGAACCACACCAGGGTTCACTTGCAAGTGAACCGAGACCCCCAGTTTTCAAACGGACCAGGGTTCGCTCATTCGGACCGCACCAGAGTTTGAATGAGCGTTCACACCACTCCAAACGAACCAAACTATCTGTGGAAGCGGACCATGGTTTGTTTAAAGCGGACCAAATAGCGGCAGTGTGAATGCGTCCTAACTCTGCACCAACAGATGCTGACTCAAATGGTAAATGGACCTGCATTTGTATAGCGCCTTTCTAGTCATCTAGTGACCACTCAAAGCGCTTTTTACACTATGAGTCACCCATTCACA